TTCCTCAGTCGGAAAGTTTGCGTTAGTACATCACTTGAAATGATTTTGGTCGTTACATTTTGTGCCTACAAGTACCCTCGAAAACTTGCCCAATGTTGGCTTTCGGTAGGTGGAAATACACACCCATATGGGTGCATTATGGTGGCGTTGGATAACATTGGTTCACCTCTAAAGGTGATGTTTTGGTCACCTCCATAGACGTCTAAGTACCTCTCTTGAGGAGGTCAAATGTCCACGAAATTCTTCAGCTCAAGTCCTCCCTTTTGATAGGTCAAAGCCTGCGTCAGATGATACACTACACTTTGCGAAGGATTCTTTTTGAAGTTGCTAAGCCGCTTTGAGCTTTAATTGCAGGTCCTCACTAGCTCATTGCGTGTATTTTTCCATCACGGAAGTTGGGTGAAACAGTTGTTCGCCCTTTCAGCAATTTTACAAATTTCACTTCATGTCACAATCGGCTGTTGCTTTTTTGTCCAACTATCGTGTTTTATCGTCGTATTTTCATGAGACAAGCAGCAATTAAAGGTTTGGAGCTTCGCTTAATGATGCCTTCTTGTCGGTTGCAATATTTTGCATTCTGAAGCCTTTGTAGTACTTTCATCCACTTCAACACCGGTTTTGGCCTTGTTGGAGGACGGTTTTAAAGATTTACTTGATAATTTTTTTTCGGAGGTCAAACAGATTGCACACTATGCTGTAAGGATTACCTTAAGCTATCAGTTTCTCTGTGAGGATTAACTTGTGTGTCATTTTTTCCTCACATTCAGCTTCTGGCCAACGTCTACCAAGCTCAGAGCCTCCTACCTAGCTATCCACCGTCTACGACGACAACGACAACAACGGCGGCAGCTGCGGCAGGAACGGTAACGACAACTGCCGCAACAACAGAGTTGGGCGATGTGGATAAGGCAAACACCTTTTCACTCCCTACCACCCAATCACCTGTTCTGCTTCATTCCTCACCCTTCAGTACTACTACTCCCCCAGATTTGGAGCGTCTAGCTCTGAGGCAGGAGCTGGAGGAGACACGATGCAAATTGAATGCTGTAAGTAATTTGGCCCTATACGCTTTTTCTGTTCCTCGGACTAACTTCTAGATCATACCATTTCTACCAGTGGGTTTTGTAGTGGACTGGATGTTTTCGTCGGGGTAACTTATTATTCAGTAGATTGGTAAAGCAGGAGGTACAGCGTGCAGTCTGTGTGAAGTACTGGTTCCAGTTGAGACTTTCCCTTACTCCTTCCGTCGTGGGTAATAGTTTACTTAGGAAAGTGGTCTTTTTTACTTCGTACTCGTATTCACTACTATCATCACAATGTTTTCAGCTTGGATCAAGATTTAATTGGTTTTACTCCTGACTCACAAAGCGAGCAGAAGGCCAAAAACTGCACGTTTAGGC